GCTCTAAAAGACATCAGTAGCCCTACTCCACTTTCCTAAAAGTCACGAATAGTCAAATGTAGGAAACATGAGACAAGAACAATCACATTTTATTAAAGAAATGATGAACTTTTTTTTATCCTGCTCTAAACTGCCATAATTGCAACTTAATTTTTACATTTTATTTTTGTAAATTAAATTTGACTTTACATTATATTCTTATATATTTATCATTTGAAATAGTGACTATAAAAACTCATCAAGATATTCTTATTTAAGTTTTTAAGTGTCTTTATTAAATAATTACATGCATTTATTCCCATTTTGTTGGGATAGTAGTGGTAAAATCTAGCCAAACTTTTATCATAATAATACTATAAAAAGGAGAAGAAAAATGAGCTGTTACCATATTGATATTCGAATCATGTGTAACTTTTTTCTTTTTTGTTTAACTCTAAACTTTCCACCTTTTTTGATATTTGAGTAAAGAAAACTAAAACTTTTCGAGTGATACCCTCCCAACCATCAATAAGGAAAATAAATACAAACTCAACTTCATAGATAAAAACTACTTACTTTAGTAATCACTGTTTTTTCTATTGAATGTTTTACCACTCAAATTTTTTTCTGTTTAGACTTCATGCTTTTCAGTACATCTAGGTTCTGGTTTTGGTTAGGCTGGATTTAACATGGTGCTTGTAACTGGCTTTTCTAAAGATACATTTCACAAACTTCCACATGTATTCTTAACAGTAAACTCTATTGCACAAAAGCAGCCTGAAAGCATTTATTTGTTCATTTGTTTGTTTGAAGACTAAAGGATCTAACAAAGAAGTAATAAATCAGGGTAAATACTCTGAATAAAATAAAATACCTGTCACATAGTTCCCATATTTGTTCACATCTAGTCTTTAAGCTATGGGTATAGTCTGTTCCTACAACTATTGGGCCTCACTTGTTTCTCTAGTGCAATTCACAAGTACATAGAGGAAAGAAGGAAGAAAAAATGGATGGATGAATGGATAGATGGATGGACAGATGGATGGACGGATACATAAATTCAAGATTCTTAAGGCACTTATTTTAGTGACTAGGCTTCAAATCATCTAGAACTAACCCAAATAAACTCAGAAATACTGTATATGATTTCTCAATTTTCCCCCTTAGAATGAGCAGGAAAATGACTATTTTTAAAAATTATTTCTAAAAAATTATGTGATGAAGAATATTCCCATGTCAAAATCTTGGCCATTTATTATTTCAGCAAAACATCATACTATTATCATATATAAGAATAAAAAAGATAAACTCAATAGTACTTAATATCAGAATCATGAGTTTCAGAAATAAAAATTGTAAAGGTTCTTTAAGGCCTTTATTGGTAATGGAACAAAACAAATTTTAGTTTAATAAAAGCAATACTTGCCAACATGTGGGTCCATGTCATTACAGTAAACAGATACCTTTATGAATAAAATAAAAATGAAAGATGTTCATCCAAAGATCTTTAGAAATTATGGATTAACTTGTCAAAGTCTTTTGCATGTACAAAGATGTTTGTTTTTTTCTCTTGACACTACCTTAATCTATGGCCACTAAGTAACATCTTTAGGTAGACAGATTCAGTATTACAAGTAAATATTGTGTTGAAAACCTTATTCAATTCCTCATGCTTTATAATATTGTCTCATTTTCCTTTCTCTTATGGATCTGGCCACCAACTTCCCAACAATCCGGATGTTAGCTCTTTTGAGTATTGGATGTCCACTCACTATAATACAAAATATAAATTACATTAATAAATGTCTAGTTAATATCATAGAAACATATTATGCTTTTTAAGTCCTATGATATTATAGAAAATTATTTATAGTCGTGCTGCAACATGCTAAAAATTTGGCTTGTGCATAATTTCTTCAGGATTATTGTATTACCTTGTATATCATGCTAAGGGACTTGGTAAAAGTTATTGTTGGACCAAAGAGCTGAGGGAAGGGATAGCAGTAACTAGGTTCCACTAATATATAGAATATATTAAGTCAATTAAATGGAACATATGTTTGATCATAAGAACAATGGTATTAAAAATTTTTACAATGTAATAAATATCAGGTCTTATACTGATATCTGAATCAAAATAAATCACCATTTGCATAGAGTGTTTTATTAGGTTCATTTTATCTATCAAATGACTTTTTGAATAAGGCATAAAAATCATACATTTTGTGTTTATACACTATACAGAGCAATAATTTACAGATATAGTAGTATATCTTTGCCTTTTAGGCCCTATACTTGTTCTTTAAACATAACTGACTGCCAAGAGCATTTAAAGTTATGAGAACAATTCACATTGTTGAGAGGAAATGATTTGGTGGGTTCTTAGAGAGAGGATATTACTGCCGTGTTTGTGTGCCCCTGTATTGTTGTTAAAGAGCAGGTCCTCATGTGAAGAAAATCAAATCAAGCCAATTATCAAAGGACCTGAATAGACATCATTTCAAAAAAATATTCAAATGGTCAATAGGTATAGGAAAAAGTGCTCAATATCTTTAATCTTCAGGAAAAGGCAAATGAAAGCCACTGTGAAACATTACCTCACTCTTGTATGAATGCCTTTTACTGAAGAATCTAGAGATGAACATTGGTGAGGGTGTGGAGCAAAGGGAAATCATCTTGGGCACAACTGGTGGAAATGTAGAAAAAAGAATACAGAGTACTAAAGAAACTAAAAGCAGAAAACTACCATAGGACCCAGTAATCCCTCTTCTAAGTGCACACCCAAAAGACAAACTCATTACTGCATAAAGACACCTCCACTCTCACAATCATTGTATCATTGTTCACAGTAGCCAGGGTATGAAAACAGCACAAGTGTCCAGCAATGGATGAAGAGATAAGAGACTATCACACACACACACACACACACACACACACACACACACACACACAGAGGAATATTATTAAGCATTTAAAAAGGAGATCTTGTCATCTGGCATAATATTATACCATATAAAAGAAGTCAGAAGCTGCAGGTCATTATGCTACATGAAATAAGACAGACACAGAAAGAAAAATATTGTATTATTTCAGTTATATGTGGAATCCAAAAACAAAGTTTGAGTATACAGAGAAAGATAAAAAAAACAGTGGGAACCAGAGATGTGGAGGGTGGGAAATGGGGATTAGCTCAGTGATTACAAATAACAAATCTGTGAGGTGAATAAATATGGAGCTATAATGTGTAACATGAGGAATACAATGGATAAAATGCTGCTGCGTTTGGGATTCCTGACAAATGAGTAAATTTCAGCTGCTTGTGACAGAAAAACAAAACTTACAAAATGCCTAACTATATGAGATGATTATTATGTCAATTTGCTTCACTATAATAGCCACTTTATAATTTATATGCACTTCATAATATGTTGTATACCTTAAGTGTAAACAATAAATTTTTTAAATAAATATATTAGTCCACATTAAGATAATTCATAAAATAATCACTATGAATAATTATTCCTAAGGTGATCATATGGAAAGGCAAACACCAACTGCATCCTAATCTAGTAGAGCTATGTGATGTAGATAATCATTATCTTATCTTACTAGCTCTTGAGATGAGATCTTAGCATAAAATACTTTCCTATGGGGAGGTTTTTGATAAGATGCAATGCAAAATCAGAGGTGGTAGCACAGGCCTGTAGTCCTAGCTATTCAGGAGGCTGAGACAGAAAGATCATGAGTTCAAGGCCAGGCTGGGCAACACAATAAGATCCTATATCAAAAAATTTAACTGAATTTGCTATGTTATGCATATATTTCATAAGGTGGAAGGGAGATGAAATACAGGAATTCTTAAGGTAGTTAATATAGAATAGTGAATATAATAGTCCAAACTATTGATTTTACACATTTGTGAATGAATTTTAGCTTTAGCACTCAATCTCAGGTTCCTTACTTTTGAAATGAGCATAATATGTATACTGTCCACTTTGTGAAAGGATCCAAAGATATATATCAAAAGATACATTCATTAAAGTACTTAATATTGTCTCAACTGGGATTAATGTAGCACACTAATGCAAGGTGTTAATGCAAGGAACCATAGAGGTATATGGGAACACTCTGTAATTTCCATTCATCAGTAAGTCAATGTTTCAGTAAAAACAAAATAATAAGTCTATTAATTAAAGATAAGATATATATCTGATACTTTGTAACTATTCAAAGTATAGTTCGTGTATTATTACTTTTGTTATGATATTATAATACAGGTTTTTGTGTTAGTTACTTTTCTCTCATTGCTGAGATAAAATACCTGACACCCAAAGTTACAGGGGAAGGGCTTTATTTGGCTTACAGTTCATAGACGTTTCAGTCCAAAAGTGGCTGGTTCTAAGGCAGGGATGACTAATAGATATCTCAGAGGAGAAGCAACATGGCACACACCAGGTAGCAAAAGCAACAAGGGAGCCTCACCAGTGTCTTCCTGCCCCTTTTATCTTATTCAGACTACTGAGGGCTGGTAGCACTCACACCCTTAATCCCAGTGCCTTCAGGCCTAGCCCTACCATGAGTCAATCACACACTAGATTCAGCCACCTCTGGAAAAAGAAAGTCCCACTTTATCCACATGAGGCTTTGGAGGGATATCTAAACACAAACCATAGCAGTTTTTAAAAGGAATTTCACTAACAATTGTGTAACCAATTATTTCATAAACATTTAAATTAGATAAAGGATCACTTCATTTTGAGAAAGACAAATATAAGCACACAGGATATATTTTTAATCTTTCAAAGTAAACATTTTTGACCTTCATTTCTGTCATATAGCAGAAGAGACTCGGGAAACAATCCTTTTGATTGAAAGAAGTCAAATCCTAAATAAAATATTAGATGTGTTTTAAACTTATTGCTAAGCTGGCAGAGAACAAAGAAAACACAGAGGCCAAAAACCAAAGTGAGATCAATAACCTTAGTAGGTATTTGAATGCCAAAGCCTGTTTTTTATTCCAGGTTTTCTGTTATGCCCTGGACATCTGGACTGCAGTGAGGGAAGCAGAACAGGAGATACAACAGAGGGTCCACCAAAGTGGAGAGTCCAGTCTGAGATCACCCAGGAGCGCTGTGGCCCCAGAGAGCTACAGCATCATAGTGGGTAGGAACAAGGAGAGGAGGGAAGGAGGGAGGAGAGAAGCGGAAAAAACAGGGGAAGGGAGGAAAGAAGATAAGGAGACAGGAAAGGAGAAAGTCAGGGAGAAAAAAGAAAAGAACAAACTTCAAAGAAAAGAACAAAAAAGACATTTTCACTTCTTCAAGAGGCTGGGTAGATAGATCATAACTTCAAAGCTGACGCTCGCTTTGGTGTTCCAGTTCAGGTCTCTTGTATGGTCCCCATAGACCTCAAATATGCATCTTGAGACCATAGTGTTAAGCGACATAAATCAGACACACAAGCTTAAATATTACATGCTTTCTCTTATATGAGAACCCCAAAATATAAACAAAGAGCAAAATAAAAAATAATGGGAAGTAGAGAAATCCATCATTCTCAGATGGGAGGGGAACAAGAGATAAAGGAAGGGAGGAGAAGGAAAACAGATGAAAAAAATTAACACATTAAGATGTATTACATTGATGGTATCAGTTCCCCATAGGAATGTAAACATTTTGCATTGCAAACATACACTAATAAAAGAAAATAATGAAAAATAATAGTTTGCTGGGCTCAAGAACAAATTAAAAACATCTCTAGAGGAAAGCAATTTCAATCAAAGATTTTAAAATATGTCAGAG